GTATGTAAGCACAGTCAAACTAAATCAGACTGAATATTAACCAATCTCACTCTCTGGTTGAGAGGGAAATGTCAGATCAGGGCAAGTATATAATGATGCTTCCTATATATTTTCCCAGAATTCAGAAATCTGTGGTTCAGATTCCTGAGCCAACAGTGATATTTTTTGAGTTGATGGATAAGTTTTTTTCCTCTGGGAACATAATCTGTTCATTTTTCCTACTCATAGAAACTTTTGATATCTACAGCAAACAATAGCAAGGAGTGTCATGGTTTAACTAGGTCAAAAATTGTGGCCTCACCTGTGTTTTTTTATCTCACTCTTGATAATTTTGTTTGATGCTTATGAATTTTGTCTTATGACAGAGAAAACAATTGTTCTCGAAGTATTTCCAGGCTATTCATAGTTTTGTAGAATTTAGTCAAATTGCCTCTCATTTATCTCTTTTGGTATTTGAATAGTTCATTTATTTGCTGCTTGTATGAAAAATGGTTCATAGTTTTCTTCAGTCACCCTTATAGCTTTTCTGTGTGTTCTACTATAGCCGCCTTTATTTTTTTTTTCTTAAGGTGGAGCATGAGAATAGCTCATAGTGTTAAAGTTGTGGGAACACTTTACAGTGGCCTAATAGCACTATTTGTTATGCTGCTTAATTCTTTCCTAATAATTCCTACTACTGTAATTGTTTGTTGTGGTTTTTTTTAAATAGGATTTGAGAAATGGGTTTCTGTTTTCACAACCTCTTCACTGAAACCCCTAGTCACCTTTCCTGAAAGGAATTATCTACTCAGAGCCTATTGTTCTGTCTGTTACACTGGGATTGCTTTTCTCGATCTGTTTTTTTTTTGTACATCATCACTGAATTGCACCTATCGTTTTACTGCTCAGCTACTCAGTATTGCAAAATCCTTTTACTGATCTTCATAGCTGGTTCTGTTTTCATCATTCTGAATACCTTACTTCCATCAGCAAACTTCGTCACTTATCTTTCCTTCCTTCTTTCCGAATAAATTGAACAGCACAAAGCATTGGGGAAATTCCAGATGAACACTTCTCTCTGTTGTGGAAACTTAAAGATTTTTCCCTAACCTTTGATGCTGATCTTCTAAACATAAATTAATCTATGGAAAGGCCTTTTATCTCATGGCAATTTCAGATCTTTCAGCAAAAGAGACCCTCAGAAATCCTATTAGACTTCATCAGCTAGGTTGTTTTTCTCTACAGCCACTAAGAACCTGGATAGATTTAGGGTGCGATTTTCATGTGCTAAAGTCATGTTCATTCTTCAATGATGTCCAGAATATACTTGTCCAGAAACCAGTGCTAGCTGGCAAAGCAGTAATATATTTTATTAGGCACCGTAGAAACAGAGCAAGCACATCACTCCTTTGAGGAGCTCACATGTAAGGAAATCCAACAGGTTTTCTACAGTGAAGTTGAAAATTACGTAAAAAATAGGTTGTTTCTAATCTCCTTTCTTAGATATTCTTAGGTATTCAAGTTTATGACTTCTAAACTTAGATTCACTTTATTTTGCTGGTTTTATTTTCTACACTTTTCCTGTTCACTGTGTCTGTGTCTGCTTTAATTTTCTGTATAAGCGATTGCGTCAAGTCAATAGGTAATAGACTACTTCAAAGCAGAACTTGGCTTAATTTATTTCAAAGAAAATTCTAAAATGTATTTACTCTGTATTTCATATGCTGCAACAACAAAAACATTAACTTTAATTGTACTTTTTTTCCTTTCTCATTTATATTCCAGGTAACTTAAGCAATAAAACTAAGCTAATATGGCTGCAGCTACATTAGCATGTAGTGCAGTTCAGTGGAAGTGGCTTTGTAGAACGAAACAGTTGATGTTGAGATGACATCTGTCTGCAATAGGGGAGGCAGAAAGTCTGACTTTAGTGTAGTGCTAACCTGATACTCCAAGCTAAATGTCCAGTAGTGGTTGAAGCATATTAGATGCACTCCTGAAATGTATATTCTGGTTTCGTTTCCTTCAAAGGTAATTCAGTTCCTGTGCATTGAGATCATTGTGATATGAGCCAGAACATAGTGTGTAAGGAATTGCTATAGAGATTCCTCTGAAAATTTGGGGGATTTGTCTCAGAAGCACACTCCTGGTCTGATTGGAAAAGTTTATGTACATACACACAGCACTTCCCTCTTGTTTCGACAGATTTTTCATACAGGTATCAATTTCCGCATCTTATCCAATAAATGCTATCTTTTGGACTTGTAACTCTGATTGTTTACATGCAGATATGCTGTAATTAAATTTACTTTTCTTATCTTGTGAGAAACACGATGCTCTGACTGTGACGTGAGCGGTGACTGCTGAGTCAGCTCTAGTGTTTTTTGGTTTATGGCGCTGAGTACAACAGTGGGGTAGACGATGCTGTCCCAGCACTGAAAGTTGGTCTCATAGTTAACAATCTGACTAGTGCCTAGGGAGTCATCTGTCAACTGCCCCCGTCTCCGACTCTGCGTATACTCTTGCATAAATCTGCAGCAGCTCCGTCACATCTAAGACACTATTGCTATTGGCATATGTATCAAAACCAACATGTCCTGAAACACTTCATATATACAGAATGGCTGGTTATCACAATGCAACAGCTAAGGCTTCTGGAGACTGTAGATACCTGAAAACACAGTTATAATAGCCTGGGGTGGTAGTTAGCAGATTAAAGCCAAAGTCAGCAGTGTTGGCAGGTCTGCTTAGGCGCTTAACTTTTATTGATTGAATGAGGAATTAGGTGCTTCAGTGCCTCAACAGTTTGTCTCTCAATTCCTTTTCTAAGAAATGGAGATAAGAGCACTTTCACACTTCAGAGGAGTGGCCTGACAGAAAATGTGTTAAGGCGGTAATGTGCTCGGATGTGACAGTGATGAGGTCAGATGAGTTCCTTGTGCAGGTAGAAGGAAATATGTGAGACTAGAGTGGATCTTGATTAACAACTTGCCTTAGAGGCACAATCCAAAGTCAATGACGAGACTCTTATTAACTTGAGGGAGCTTGGATCAAGCCCATTGATTTGTGCTTATTTCCGCTCTAGTTGCTATAGTCCAAATTAACACTGTGCTGTGATATTTTCAAGTACCAACGTAAACAAAATCCACTCAACAAGAAAATAATAAAAATAGGAAAACCATAATGCCTGAATCATGATACTGAATTGATAAATTTTAACCACAGGAACATTGTCCCAGAAATTAGCCTGTTAAGAAAAAAGAACCAACTCACAGACATCACAATTTTTGACTTCGAAAGCTGCATAGGCTACTAGGTGGTAGTAGATGATCTATATATTGACATTTCGATTATTGATGCTTTCTGTGTAGCTTCTATCATGCAATCTTCAGTTTAGAAGTCGCATCAATGATATGCTTGATATACCTGAAAGTGTTAAATGAAAATAAGAATGCTTCAAATAATGCATCTTTTTGTCACAAGATTTCAAAAGTAAATCAGAGATACAAAAAGAGACTGTACCTTTATGCTACAATGGAAACATTACATTACTTTACGTTAGAGATACAGTGTGATAACGTAACTGGTCTAATATCACTCAGGACATTAAAGCTTAGGGATTTTGAAGCCTTCCAAGTCACAGGTCAAATTGCCTTGCTGCCAAGGGGTTTTCTAGAGAGAGATAAAAACTTCTGGCAGTTACCCAATAATGACGGATGTTGCCTGTGTAGATTATATGTGTATTTGCATCTTCACGTACAAATAGTTCTTTAACATCTAATGTCTATGAAGACTTACGGCATCCTGTAATTCATAGGTAGTGAGTTAAGGCTGGGCTAAACCACGACATTAAGTTACATCTAACTCTACCTGCCTAAATGAAAGAAAGAGAAGGAAATGTAGTGTATGATTTTTGCAGTGCCCAAACCCAGACAGGAATTTGCTGTGAGAGATGCCAGGTGTGGATCCTTTCATTTCAGGCTTGTCTAAGAACAGATCATTGTTCACTATTTGCAAAACAGCAGCAACACCACTTAAAAAACAAAACAAAACAACAAAACACTAATGATTCAAAGCTTTAGTACCTTCCTGGGCAAATATTCTTCAGAACTTTTCATGTTTGACATTCATGGTGCCTCATTCCTATTTCTTAGCAGTATTACTTTGTTGCTTGCTGAAATACTGGAATGATCTCTTTCTACTGCTCAAACCCATATATTCTCTCATGCAGACACACATGAGAGGAGCGTCTTATTATTCTCTGATTCATCAGCAATACAGACCAATTAATACCACAGTTAATGGGGAGAGGTAGCTACTACAACTGCAAGCTGTATATCTTCTGTCACTCCTGAACTAACACTCTTGAACAAAGCTGGAAAGCAGCTTTGCTATATGAAGATTATTTTTGATATGGTACCGAATCTATAATTCACAGCACCATAGAAACTGGAGATGGAAAGAACCCAGCACGTTATCAAATGTGTTCTCCTGCCAAAGCAAGATTGCTTCTTGTAGGCAGCCAGGTTACAACATTTCAGGCAGTGAAACTGTCATCTTCTCTGAACATTCTGCCAGAATCTAACAAAGCTCACCATTAGAGATCATTCTCTGTGTGTGTCTCTTTTTTTTTCTTAACATCTAACTTTTTGTCTCCCACTCCAATAGATCGTTCATGAAGACCCTAGCAGCCCGCTGTGGCTGTCTGGTAACTTAGTAAGTTTGCACTCTGGACAGATTTCAGGTTTGATTTTCTTGATAACCCAAGCATAGCTTGATTTAGGTCTGTTTTAACTTCTGTCAAAGTCATTCTGCTTATGTGATCATATGTTATGTTTATATATGTAGCTGAAATATATTATTTTCCTTACTGAAATATTGACTGCTTAGTTTTTATATTATGTTGAAACATTTTGAAATAGACATATTTAACAAGCTTACCTGAAGTTCCTAGCCGCTTACTTATTTTTCCATCTGCCTCCGCTTCACTACTGTATTTTTTGTCTTTCCCATCCATATAGATTATGCTGCTGACTGATCCAGAAGTTGAGAGCAGCTTATTAATCAGTTCTGATGAAGGAGCCACCTATCAAAAATACCGTCTGAACTTCTACATCCACAGTCTGCTCTTTCACCCCAAGCAGGAAGATTGGATCTTAGCATACAGCCAAGATCAGAAGGTAAGAATCGTTGTCAGCATTTCTCTTTGTTTGCTTAGGAACAACCTAGGATTTCTCCATCTCTGTATGTAACTGCTACGAAATATTCAGGACAGTCTTTAGGGCAATACTGGGGCAGTCTTTGGAAACACCAAACTGGTATTCAAACTGGAAATTTGGAAATATCAAACTGGATTTCACATTCTGACATTTCGATGATTTTGAATAAAACTTGAAAGCAGACCAAAACAAATACCAGACACGTGTTTCCAAGCAACAAACACTGAGTAAGTCTCAATGTAAAGAGCAAAGTAAAAGACATGGGCACCTACTGTGTTCTTGGGGCCTAGCCCTCAATGACTGTCCTGACAGTCCACATTATTCATTGGTCCTTTTGGCAATATCATGTGACAGGCAATGGGCAAAGACGACAGCTAGGATCCTTCACGATAGGAGTAATAACCTCTAAGGAGGCTTTTTGTCCTCTTAACTGTTCTCTTGCTCCGTCCTAGCACCAGCTCCAAAAACAGTATAAGACACTCCTTGTTCCTATCTGGTCAGTGTATTTTCAAGTAGTCTTTGATTTTTTAAGAGAAAAGCAGTGGTGAATTGATTTCCTTTGAAGTCCAGTTTCTTCAGTATGGGTAATCCATCAAGTGAATAAATACGCTGTGAGATTTGCCTTGATTTTTTTGCTGCCCAACTTGAGACAACAGAATCGGACTTGATTGTACGAGACCTCATTGTTAGAACTTTTTGAAAATCAGGCACATCAATACTTCCAAATCAGTTGTCTTCCACTGAAGGACTTGATAGAGCTCAATCTGTTTAGTTTACCAAAAAGCAGATTGAAGAGAAACTATATTTTGTTGTGCATAAATACGTCTCTTGAGGAAGACAAAACATATGAGTGAGCATTTTGATCTAGCAAAAAAACTTCTAACAAGAATTGATGGCTAGGAGTCAATAGCAGGTAAACTCAACTGTGAAGTAACTAGCCATTGGAGCAAACACTCTTGAGAAACGGCAGATTTCACATCTTGACATTTTGATGTTTTCGAATAAAACTGAAAAATAGACCAAAATAATTTGCTGAGCTCCGAACAGGAGTAAAAGAAGGAAAGATCCTGGCATCTAATATATAAACCTTTATACAAAATAATTTAGTGCGCTCGCTTAGTTTTACATATGATGAGTCTATGATTCTAATCAATAATCAAAGTATTGACTGACTTGTTGAGGTTGTATATTAATGTAAATATCAACATAAAAGTTTGAATTCTATGTTTTCTGTCTTCAGAATTCATTTTACAGACATTAAACAACTAATTTTCCTTTAGCCTAAATTTGACTTCTTGTTACTATTACTCTAAGCCTGAGAAAATAAAGGTGTAAGGAAGCTAAATAACTAGCTAAGGTCACAAAATGATCTTATGTGAATTTTTGGAAAAGAAGTTCAGTCCTATGCTTTAAGCTCAAAACCAGTATCCTTCCAGGCCAGCAGCATAATAACCTTCCCAACTATGGGAAAGGCAACTTGCCTGCCTAATTCTTCTTGTAGAATCAATTACATGCAGTATTTTTCCCCTCACCCCTCTCACAGCATTTTGTAGAGTGTACTGTGGTTATAGTCTGTTCCAGGGGTGGAAATTATTAAATTATTTCTGGATTATAATTTAATAATTATTAAATTATTTCTGGGTGTTCAGTATGTGATTAGGCAAGGTCAAAATGTTTCCTTTCCCTTGTGTCTGTTGAATTCTCTGGACTGATAGGAAACTGAACAGAATCTGGCCACTGCTGACTTTTAGGACCCTTTGGAATGAAAGTTAATGTGTGTTTGTAACAGGGAATTTTTTACATCAAGATCAATGAAACTTTCAGTGGTAAATTTGTCAAATAAAATTAGGATATAGTAGAAAATTAATTTCAACTGTTATGGTAGTCAGCCTGCTCAGGAAATAATTCTGAATTAGAGTTCATAGAGCTAATGCTCATCTAATTTATGATAGATGTCTACCAGCAAATATATTATCATTATTCCATAGAGAACTCCCAATCGTCCTCTATAGAATCCTAAAACCCAATCTGGATATAAGAACGAAGGGCCCTTTTGTGCGTTAACTTGAATTTATGGGGTTGGTGTCAGAGTTGTGTATATGGGGTGTTTTGGGTGACAGGGTGCAGGCTGTACGGTAAAATTTCTTTGTCTTTTGGCATGGATTAGCAAATTGAATAACTTGGTAATTCAGCACTGTGGTTGCAAGAAGAAAATCATGCAGCACAAGGTCTGTAGATCTGTACCAATTACTTCCAAAATAGAATTTTAAAAGTACTCTGTATGAGTATGAGTCACAGGCCTGGTTTCTACTTTAAAGTCTAATGGATACATTTTCTGACTTCAATAGGCTTTGTCCAAGAGCTGTAGAAAGTAACCAACAGCCAAAGGGTATTAATCAGCTTGACCTAAATTAAATGTAACTCAAACTTAGGGTCAAGTTCAGCCTGTGGCTAAATGTAAATGACTCCCATTGGTTTCATGCTTATATATCCAAAGGCAGAATTTTCTCAGAGTAATTAAGAAGTCCTGCAGGTATTTAGATAATTGCAATGGCAGCTGTGGGGTAGTCTGGAACAAATGACACTGTAGTTTGCTATTTCACGATGTCGTGCTAAGGCCATGTTTAAGGAAAGAGAACTCATTACTCCATGGATTCCAGGCACTGTGTACACACTAAGAGCTTCCCAGTGAAGCAAGGGAAACGTGTCCACATGGTAAGGAATTTACATTTTGGTATCACTGACTTTGACGCCACTGACTGAAGAGGCTGTGAATAGATGGGGCCATGAAGGAGTAAATTGGATTCTGACCAGTTAGGATTGTTGCAGTCATTTAATCTCGCTGTTGACAGTCAGGAGGGAGGGGAGAATCAACTAGAAAACATGTTTACATGCTTCTAGCAAGCCACATCATTGTTGCCATCCATTTGCATCTTGTCATTGCAGCAGGTGGGACCAGGAGAATCAGGTGGTGAATAGAGCAAGAACTGGAGAGACAGGAATCACATTGAGTCTGGACTGTTCTTGTTGTCGGAAGTGGTCCGTCCAATTCAAGACCGATGAGGGCAAAGCCAACAGTTAGTGCATGCCTCTCATTGCTCAGTTGTAATGAACAGCAAATGAGTCACATAGCATCATCCCACAATCTCTTCACAGCTCACTGAGTCTATCACTATCATAAGTACTACATTTTTTTTTTTTTGTTTGATTGAATAGGGATTTACTCAATGGTAGGGAAATCTGTGTTAACTGAAGTCATTTTATGTCCCAGTTTCTTGGGTGTTGTGTGTGGGTGAACGTGGTTAATTACTGGGGTTCAGCTGACAAGGAACAACTCATTAAGCTTCAGTGACTCAGTTGCTTTTGTTCACGTTTCTCTCCCCTGTGTTTCTGCCTTGGGCAGCAGGCTTGAATTACCACTGCTGACAGACCAGTCCCTTATTCAGTCGTGACTTTTTCCTGCCAATCTTGAGAAAAAAAGAGCAGCAAACCATCTGCCGCCTGCACTAATTGCTTCATGATTGCATTCATTGTTCTGGCTGAAAGTACAGTTGTTACATGGCTGATTCTTGCCACAAAATTTCAGAACTACTGCATGCTTCTTCGTTTTCTGTATAAGAGGAGTTACAAATCAGGAGGAAGCTTCAGACACAGTAAAGCATTGTTTGTGAGGCAAAAGCTTGTTGGAGGTCTTGTACATGCGAGCTCTCGTGGGTTTAATCAGCTTGCTTGTGGGATGAGGGGCTGTATTTTATGGGAGTATTGCTTATGTATTACTGTGTAATCTTCAAAAGTGGTTTGCTGTGTAATCAGAGGGTGGGATGTAAGAGCCTCTACTTCATGTGGAGACATCCTCTGCTATTCAGATGGGTCAGACACACAGAGGAATGGTTAGTAATCAGCCCTGAATAACAGAGCTATTTGGAGAGATGAAATACAGGTGAAATTGGGAAACATAAGTCAGACGGACAAAATGCAGGGTTGTAATTGCCCAGCTCAGGAATAGATGTGCAAAGGCACTCAAGCACTGAAAGGCAGCAACAGAGTCTGAAAAAGCAGGTTTAAAATGGAGTTATTGTTGTTGATTCTCCTCTCTCGTTTTAAATGAACTCTTGAAAAGCAAGGCACTCGAGACTAAAGGAGCTTTGTCAACATATCACTAGTAAATTAAGAGGTTTACATTTCCTTTTTTTATTTTTCTTATTGTTTTTTTCCATTTTGGCCTTTCCCAAATATCTGCTTCCATCTATCTATCTATATTTACTGTGTGTGTCACGCTGGAGATCAATGAGTTGGGAATTGATACCTGACTGTATAGGTAAGGTGCTGAAGTTTAGCAAATCGGGATTCTGTTGCTTGTGGGACAGCATGTCTTCTGTCATCAAACCATGTCATCTTCTTCAGTTTCCTGCAGTAAAGGAGGTCCACTCCTCATGCATTCAAGTGGAAGAGAAAGCTGTTCATGCATCAGGGATGACAGAGAAACCACTTAGAATAGAGACAATAGGTACTGTTAGCCCCATCTCTCTTTGTGTTTGGTCTAATGCTTGTGTCTGACAGTAGAGTATCTGCCACAGATGTAGCCGATATTCAGTCTTCAATATGTGTTGGCCTATTTTGGACACACTTCATAATTCTAAAACCTTTCTTTCGCTGCATTAGAATCTAACTTTGAGAGTCACCCTGCTTGGACAACGGTCATATCAGGGACCTCCAGAGGTTTCTTTCAACATAAATTATTCTGTTTCTATTTACACCTTCTCAGTTTTGGTGGTAACAGTCATTGCCTACATAGACCAGAGAAGGGGGAATAAAATCCAGATTTATTTTATCAGAAACTGCATCAGTTTTTAAAAACATTGCTGTTAACATCAAGCGATATCATTTTGGGGTGATGGGTTTTTTTTTCCACACTTCTGACAATATTTTGAGGACTATTCACTTGGGCTAATGTTAGCTGA